CCATTTTCGCGAAATTCATGGCTTATTTTTTTTAATATTTGAATATGTAATTTCTGCAAAAAGTAAAATATACATGGGAATTTATTTGATGTTAGATTTTTTTTTTATAAAATATATTATTTCAGTTTAAAAAAAAAATGCATATAATCTATAAAAAAAATCAGTTTTAATACAGAATTTTATTATTGGGGGCCATTTTTACCTACCTGTCATTTGGGGCCACTTTTACCGGGACCATTTTACCGGGACCATTTTTACCGTACACCGACAGGTTTACATGCTTACCTCAAATTTATTACCCACCGCCTCCAGCTCGCGATGGTCGTAGTGTATTGTAGATGCTAATTAAACGAATGTCTAGGCCAGACTCACTCACAAGTGAGTGAGGAATTTTTCGTTTACCACGGTCAGGCACAGCAAAGGTAATGAATGGGCCTACAAACTAGGCTATAACAATTAATACTTTCCTAAACATATTCCTACATTTTCAATAAACAGTAAAGTAAATAACCAGCTAGCTTGCTACCTAGCTCTAATCGGGAGCGCATCATATGTGTGGTGTGATGTCAAACCTGCAGTTTCGGCAGGCAGTCCGTAGCGAACAGAAGCAACTAATTTTCTGACAGGGTGTCGTATTTAAATATTTTTTTCCGCGGAATTTTCTTCTGGTCTATACAACAATATAAATAAAAAGAAAATACAAAATTGATTTGATCCCTAAAAAATTAGAAAAATTATGATTCGTAACATACAGAAATAATAACATTGAACTAAAGAGGCTATTACTACCCCCAGACATTAGTTTTATACGATTATTCAAACCATTGTGTACACGGTGAAAGTTTATTATAATATTTTAAACACTTGACGATTATAACAAGTAATTATTATATTAAACTATAGTTTTCCAAAAATATATAAATAAATCTCTGATCAATGATACAAGAGAAAAAGAAAAACAGTTTCAATAAGTTGAACATACATTAAGACTAACAATAAATAAAAAAAATAATTTTCAATTGTGTCACTTAAAAAATCTCAGGGTCCAACGTTGCTTGTTTGCGGCAAGTTGCATAAGGTTTTCAAGATCTTTTAAGTTTTTTAATTTTAGATTATGCTTACTGAAATCGTTTTGCAGTAGTTACAAGAGATTTGATCTATGTCTACAATTTCGGCTACGAGCATTACATGTAAGTATCTATAAAAAATTACCAATAATGATCAACTACTTTTTAACATAGGTGATTAAAAATCACCTCAAATTATCTGATTTTGCGAGTTATCCTTTTCACCTATTCACCATCAATCCCCCACTTTACCTTTCCACCCCCATCAGCTTCTTTCCATTTCAAGACCCCTACGTCACTGATGCTAGGGCCTGCAGGTAGAAAAAAGTTTGTAAGCGGCCTACTACTATTATACAGAATCACATTTATTTCTAGTCGAAATAAAAAAGTACGTTATTTTTAATACCGGCATGGTTGAAGTATCTTCTCTTCAAAAGAATTCCTATTCTTGTATTTTAACAAATTTCAATTCAAATAATGATAAATCAAAGTTTCTTCTATACCGGTCATACTTATGCAAATTTATTTAAACTTCAACCATTGAGATTAGGCATATAGATAAAATACCCGATCGGCTGTGGAGGTCCCGATTTGTGAGCAGAAGAGCATGCGCACATACTCTTAGAAGCACCTCTTCCATTCCATTGTTAAATTGGCTATCCTGCAAATTTAAGTGTTGTATGGTGCTGCCGTGATTCGGAAGAACGCATTATAAGCCAAATCATAGTTTTAAGATATTGAGCAAAACGCGTTTCTTGTTAGCCTTTTGCTATGGAAATGAATAATATTGAATTTTTTCGTGTAAATGTGTAAACTACACAACAGAAAAACATACTGAAGTACTTTTTAATATTTTTTCTATAACCCAGTAGAAATGGATATAATGCGCTTTTCCAAACTAAAACAAAAGCCAATGAAGCATGAAAAATCTGATGTTAGGCATTATATTCAGTTTTGCCAGTAGAATGCATGCATTAGGCTTTACTTAAGGACCAATGAAAAATTAAAGTGAATTTTCACCAGGACTTTAAATTCCATTATGTTTAAACAACTTAAAACAAAACAAAATAGATATAAATAGTTTTTTAAGGGTTTTTGTTTATATTATTTAGCAACATTATCGCATTCACTCTTATAAAATATTTACAAAATGTGTCTGATCTGATTTAGTAAATGTTGTATTTCCCTTAAAATATAGTATGGTACAGGTAAAATTTAAATTAAATATTATCATTAACCACTACAGAAAGAATATAGTATAGTTTTATATAACACACATATCCATCTAATGTAAGATGCTCAGGGCGCTTGATGTGTGACTAGGAACTCGATCAATGACTTTCTTCGCCCCTAAGGGTCCCTTCGTGTCTGTGACCCGGTAACCCGGTACCAGCAACTCTCGTCGTCCACCGCAGAGGCTGTCTGTCCCATTACACCAGGGTATCCCCCTACTCGTCTCGAAGGATGTACTGGGTTCTTTATAGTGCACACGAGCCATAGTACGATGCGATAGGCCCGACTGTGACTTATCCTAGATACCAAAGTAGGTCAAACATTGAAAACCTTGCTATTCCAATGAAATGTAGCAATCCACTCGAAAAATTAAGGTTTATATAGAAGATTGCGGCTAAGAATTGCTAAATAAAAAGGAGAAACTGTACCATTATTATATTGTTTTTTTTAATTTGCTTTAGCTAGCAGGGTATGCACTGCATACCTTGCTTGCCTTGACGGTCCGCCACTGCTTAGATGACATCTGAAAAGTAGTTAGGTTTAAAATAGAAAGTGTATGTTTTACCTGGGTAACCTACTAAGTACCGTAACATGTATACATGAGAAGCACACACGCAAGACGAGTGACCATTTTTTCAAGGCCACTGAAGGGGGTGGCTAGCCACCCTATTCACCCCTAGATCTGCCACTGCACACTGCACATTTGCCCCATCCATTGACGGAGGACCTTATTTATTTTTCACAAAATAAACATAACCAGTAAAGACAATTAAAAAACATGAAACCAAACACAATTAAAAGAGTAAACGTCATAATTTAAAATTGCATATAAGACTAATAATAATTAATTTATGAACTAATATTATGTGATCAATTTTAAAAAACAATGATTTCACAGTATTTATTCAAATAAACGCCCTGCTTTGAACAAACACCCCTCGAATAAACACCCCCCCCCCATAAAAAAAAAAAGTCGTTAGGAATAAACGCTTCGGGTCTTCTAATTTTTCTTCGAATTGTCTCTTAGTAACTATAGACGGATGAAATGGAAGCAACATCATTCTAAACATTGAATTATTTATCAATGTTTTACCCTAGTGGAATTAAATTAACTGCTAATTAGGGATTTATAAGCCATGCAAAAACACTTTTTTTTAAACATTAAGCATAGTAGACTATTTACCAGTAAACGCTGGCTACTCAAAAGCCATCTGAACAATAACGTCCCGGGGTGCTTATTCGAATAAATGCGGTATATTATAATTATTACTGTATATTATATATAAATTTTACTTAATTATCTAACTGTAATGCCCAAATAATATAAAAACGAAGGTATGATTAGCAATCAAATTATAACAAATCAATGCATTCAGGGTGTGTGGGTGCATTCAGGGTGTGTGGGTGTGATGGGAGAGGAGGATGGAGCTTTGTGTGGCACATTTTTAAGGAGCCTGTACAGAAAATAGTTCACAAGTTGTGGTTTTTTTTAATTTTTTTAATTTTTTTTTATTTATTTATTATCCCAGCCAAACAGCAAACATAAAATTCGCCACTTACAGGAGGTTATGGTAATCCTCAAAAGTAGAGAATAACCCCATAATATTTTAATATTCTATTCATTTATTATTAATCTAAGAAAAATAACGTCAATTATTTACAGAACGTAATTAAGGTACGATTTGTTTGTTGGTTTCGAGGTCGGCGAAACCTCGTTGCGACTCGCATTTTAGACTCAGCCAGGGATATGATTATTTTTTGATTGAAGGAAATGGATGATTTTTAAGTATTACTCGATGAGAAGGTCATATGAACATCATAATTCATATTAAAATGTTGTCTTTGTCACTTTTACGGATTTGTAGCTTTTTTAAAGGTGCCTCACACTTTTGGTACAATACTGCAGCTATACTTCGTCCTGCCTCGCATGATCCTGTACGTAAACAGTGGATCATTACAATACTAATAGTCCATTAATTGTCACGGTGTCGACTATACTCTCTCGACCGACTACTAAGATATTTTAACCTACCCTACTTCTGTTACGCCGTAGCTTTCTATCCACAAAAGTCAAACATGTATATTCATATTATCAGTTGACATAAATGACTTTAAATAGCGCCCGCTCTTCTCCTTCCCACTTTTCTCCCACCATTAACTTAAAACTTAATTATCTTGGATATTGCCAAGTCGTTATCTATAACCCCTCCTGGTATACCCATTGTCTCTTGTCGTGTCAATCTGAATTTCTGCCTGGATATATGGACTCTTCTCAACCCCAATATTTCCAGCTATATTCAAGATATATTTCCACACTCCCCCAAGATGCTATACTTGTTACTATGGATATGTCATCCCTCAAAACGATGGCATCCAAGCTTGCTCCGATTGTCTGCTCACTCATTCACGAATTATCATCTACCTGTCAAAACATTTATTTGAACCATCTAATGCGGGATGTTCAGTAGCCTCGAGTCTCGAAATTAGGGTAAATTATGGGATAGATGCGGGAGCAAATGTGGAGTGGGGGGTTCAATGACTATGTGAGGGTGAGTGACTACAGGGGATGTCTCGTGTATCCCTAGGTACGCCACTGGGCATGTTTCACTGCACTGAGGCCCACTGTGTATCTTTATAGATTTTAGCTTCGGTCCGATCCTACGAATAGGAAATAAAAACAGACAATTCAGATTTGCGGGTACTTTATTGACGAATTTTTACACTATTTATTCATTCCATTTTTTACTGTTTAGACAATTAAAATCGTCTAATAATCGGTAATACTGATAAAAATATTAACGATAGTTATGTCGGTCTCACTAGTATTATATCTAGAATTTTCTGATATGCAGACGACTTCATTGTGTTTCTGCCCCTGTATCGAGTTTTAATGGGGGTAGCTACTTTGCAGGTTCCCAGTTACTATTTTTGGGTGTCTGAGATGCCATATTTTCAAAATTTGTTCACTTTAGGCCCACCATGGTGGATTGAGGTAGGTATGAATTCAATATCCCATAAAACTTTAAATGCTGTCTGCCCATTGACGGGGAGGGATAGTGGTTCTACAATTATTGTCAGCCAGCATTTTCGGGCATCTAGAGAGAGGTGCAATATTTTCAAAATTTCCACCTCAGCCCTAACCATGTAGAGGCTGAAGTGGGTATGAGGTCTAGTCCACACCAACTTTAAATCTTGTGTCTACCCATGTACAGGATGTGGAAGGGTAAAGGCTCTACAAGTTCGCCATCTGCTGTTTCCGGGCATCCAGGTGACATATTTAAAGAATTTGCTCACCTCAGCCTGAACCATGGTGGGGCTGAAGTAGGTACACTCTATCCTCATGCTAACTTTAAATATTGTGACTGCCGTTTGAGGGAGAGGGGTAAGCTCTAAAGGTTGCCAGCATCGATTTTCGGGCATCCATGTGTCATGGGGGAGATGGAGTGGACATACACTCAGACCCCACTAACTTTAAATTCTGTATCCGTGGGATAGGGATAGCGGGTCTGTATTTTAACAACCCGTCCCCCCTCCCACCCGTTTTTTCAATAATGGCCGGACCACTTGCGAAATGCTTCCGTCGACTATGTAATATATTACTTTACACATATTTCGGTATCTAAAAGCATAAACCATATACAAATAATCATATCCGGGTAGTATATATTTATAGAAGTGCTACCTAAATTCACGTTATTTATGAAATTTGTACAATACGATAATATTTTAGAAAACTTACAATCGATATTAACTCCAGATAGCCACTGTAAGTGGTTACAGAAGTTTAGTCTAACAAGAACATTCAAATAAATCCCCACAACAATATAAATAATAGTAATAATAATAATAATGATGATAATAATAATAATAATAATAATAATAATAATAATAACAATAATAATAATAATATTCTTGTATAATTATAATCATTATTAAATATAATATAGGAATAATATTATTACCAGAATTTTGGCCGATACTGGACTCTGGGTGTTTTCTTTCATGTAAAATTTATTATGATAATTGATTGAAGCTCTCATGGTGAAACAGAAAACCAAAAACTGCTTAAACGATTGATGTTCATAGGTTAACAATCTCAAATAAGACCGAAGTACCGGTATAGGCCTGTATTGTATTTACATAAACATGATGGTGTAATTGAATACAATCCTATTCACAATTTTAAAAGGTATAAATGAAAGTTGAACGAAAAAAGTGAAGAGGAAAGCTGAATACGATAATATTTCACCCTATTGGGGACCCCACAAGGTTTTAATTTCTAGATTACTTCCACACGACATTTTAATAAAGATGGTTAGTATTCCCAGATGCTTCAAATCTCTTGGCAGTCGCGTCTCACTGATTTTGTCTTAGTTTGCTATGAAGATTGGTCGTGGAGCACTCTTGGTGGCTTCTTCGCCTAGTTCTTCCACCTTCTCTTTACGAATGAACTCATTCAATTGGTCTACCATCAGTATCAGCTTTTGTTGCATTTCGTCACACTCCAGTTGAATTGGTTCAATTCCTGGTGATACATATCAACCGAATTATATTAATATAACAATAATTACATAGACTAAAAACAATTAAGGACGGTATCAATCAACATTAGAATCAACGTATTTTTGATTTAAAGGAGAATTTCTGGGTTCCGAAGGGAGTGCGTTAAGGAGAGACGGACTTTGAAAAGGAATCTGTCTTCGAAGTTTTAAAGATTGGAGATGTGATTTCAAGTGGCTGAAGGAGTAGGAACCACAAGTTCTGGAAAGTTCAGAACTTTTTGGTTACATTTTGGTGAGGTATGCTGCTATTTTCATATAATGGAACAAAGTGAACCGTACCTTCCACATATCTGTGACGTCTCTTAGGTTTGAGAACTCTCTTCTCTGCAAATCCAGTTACTTCTTTAAAGCGGCGAACCATGAAGTCCACTATCTCCAACTCATTTTTCAGCTTCTCATTCTCTTCCTTGGCAACGGAGAAAGCCTCATTAATGATGGTAATGAACATGTTCATTAGTACAAAGACGATTGTCAGGGTAAAGCTGAAGAAGAATATTGGTCCTAAAACTCGATTCACACCAACCATCTCATCGAAGTTGAAATTACCTAAATATATATTTAAAACGATTAGCATTTCATAAATATACTGTACACTGTATTAGTTTAGCTACCTTATAATCCCATCATACTCGTCGTTGTCACTGCTGCCGTTGTTCATGCACTGCCACCATCATCATCATTCACCTTCATGATCACCATCGTCTATAATCTGACTGGTGGAGAATGATTCACATCGTCATCAACCAGATATTGCTATCGCCTCCACCCCATTTACCTTACCAGAATAATCACTATCGTCACAATTACAACAGACATCAACAATATCATTATCACTGTCTTCAGTATTTAATAACCATCATATCTCTACCATCACCACTAGCACAGCCCACCTCTACTATGAAAACATGTTTTACCTAAAAGTGTAGCAAACAAAGACTCCAGTGTTGTCACCATCGTATAATAGTCAATCATGCTATTTCCAAACAACATGAACCCGGCACAAGCGTATGAAGCAAAGATCACGCTGAACATCATAAAGAACAGAAGCAGTTCCATCCAGCATGTTTTAATCGTATGCGCCAGCAGCAACATACGCTTATTGAAACGCAACAGTTTCATGAATTTGATTGTCGATATGAACAGTATCAGCCCAATCATCCAACAAAATAGCTATAAGAAAAATATTCCTAATTAAATGCGAGATTAATCGATAAAATTATACTATTTTTTAAGAACGTAACAATAAAACAATAATAATTATATTAATAATAATAATAATAATAATAATAATAATATTAATATTAATATTAATAATAATAATAATAATAATAATAATAATAATAATAATAATAATAATAATAATAATAGACTTGGGGAAAACACTGAAGGTTTAACAATTGGTCAAGAAATTGAGATCAGCTTCAGCTATTCTGCATTTTTTGAGAAGTTTTCCAAGTCTTCTACATTCATTTTACTACCATAACTGCTGTAATTCAAATCATGAATAATGTAATAAACGATCTTTACAGGATATAATAAACAACACAAATTTGAAAGCAATAACCCAAGATTCATGTTTCTGCTGTATCACACAGTCATTTTCAACTTTTTTTTTTTTTTTTTGCTTAGGATTGTGTCGACGTTTCGATTGGGCTGCTTTAATCATTATCATGAGAAAAACATCTGGGTACAAACATTATGTATACTCACATTTACAAGGGTAAGAAGATGTTTTAAAATATAACACAGTTCTATATTTAATCATCATTTTCATATAATCATCATTATTTGTATTATATTAAATTTACAATTATTTAACATTTACAAGGATTGACAGATGTATTAAAACATAACACAATTTAATATTTAATCATCATTATTATTATAATCATCATTATTTCTATTATCATCATTACATTATTGACACTTCTTAAAAAAACGATTTTTAAGCCCTTTCAAATGTATAGGGTCTCATTAAACATCAGGTTAATTTCTATTATAATTATAAATATTTATTTTGGGAGAAAAAAAAACATAATTTGTGGACACACCTGATCCCACTGCCCAACATACTGGAAATTTAGAAATTTATTCGGGAACTCGTCTCGTTCTGCCATAAGCTTTTTGGCAACAAATGTTCGGTACATGTACGTCACAAATGCCGTCACCGACAGCGCCAACGTTATGAACTCGACGATGTTGCCAAGGTCCTTGAAGTACTTTTTCTTCTCTTTTTTAATCAGTTTGAACTCTTTAAATGCAAACCAGAGCGTGAATACGCACATGCCAGCCTCAGCAGCAAGCACAATATAGCTGTATGGACCAAAGTAACGATCAAGTTTCAATGTCTGGAAATGGTAATATGGCACGGCACCTGGTATAATGAAAATAAGAAAGTTTTAAAACACTGCAAATCACATAAACCAGAAATTAATACGTCTTTGTCGGACGATTCCACTATTTTCGAGGTACTTCGTAAAAGGAAACTGGCGCCTTTGTCGATATATTTCAACAAAATTCAATGTATTCTGTGTTTAAGCTTTTATTATTTGTGAAATTAAGTCTCTTCTCAATTGTATTAATTTAAAGAGGATCATTTTAAAAACTGTTACATGTTGTCTGAAACTATACCCTGTATAAATATGTTTAACAAAAGAAATAAAATAATAGTAATAATAATAATTATTATTATTATTTATTATCATTATTTATTATTTATCATCATCATCATCATCATTATTATTATTGTTACTGTTACAGTTTTGTGAGACTAAGGTTACAGAACACTCCCATCCTCTTATTAGCCAGTCATTTGCTGTTGAAGAAAAATTAAATGAATAGGAAATGATATTTGATTTTTGTTTTTGTCTTACCTCCCTGTGGCAAAAACTCTGCGATCATGTACGATACGGCATAGAAATTTATCACTGGGTTGTAGACGGAGAACTCAAAAAACACGGCGCGGGTGTACTGGTCCACCCACTTAGAATTGCGGAGGTAGTCGGCAATGGCCCACGCATCCTCAACGGTTTTTCCAAGCTCAGCAATATAACCACCCCCTCCGTATACCGCCGTTTTCCCCCAATATGGCAGTGATCCTAAATCAAACCATGATTGGTGGCGCCAGACGTCCATTAAACCTTTGTATTCCGGTGGATCTGTTGATAGCAAGATCAGTGGAAATCATCTACCTTCATTTGAAATTGTAAATCTGACATTGCACCTCAAGCTATGAACAAAATATGATGTCTGTATTGGGTGAGGGTGAATGCTGACATAAGGTGACTCAAGTAGTTCCCTCGCATCTGCCCAAAATATTACTTTCACTAATTCCGTGTAGTATATTCACATAGAATCACAATCATCTTTATTCATCCACATAGGAGGAAATTACATACTTTAGGAGCACAATAAAGGCTTAACTTCGGTGATCGGACGAGAACCTGTGTTTTCAACGTAGTATGGCAGAAGCACAATAAAGGATTCTTAAACCAACTAAAGAAATTCATAGATATATACAGTATAATTCTTTAATTAAATAGCTAGTTGAAAATAATATAAAAAATTCTATGTGAAATCATTGTATGTGAAGCCGGGTAAACCTCGGCACTTTTGAGATCCTGTCGGACTACCCAGTCGATTGTATTGTACCGTCTCATTGTTTACAATAAAACATCATAATCATCATCATCAAAATAATAACAATAATAATAATAATAATAATAATAATAATAATAACAATAATAACAATAATAACAACAATAATAATAATAATAATAATAATAATAATAATAATAATAATAATAATAATAATAATAATAATAATAATAATAATCTCATTAATCTCAGATAAGATAAGATAAGATACATAGGCCTACTCCAAGAATCGAAATGCACGCCATCGTGTCGGAATTCAATATTTCGACATTAATTATGTCATCATCAGGAATGAAAAATTATCCATATTTGCAAGCTTATATGCACAAGTACCAAAAGTGATTGACCAATCAAAAGATTACCCCAAGTAGGTGACATAGTTATAAATAAACTAAAAATCAAAGCATTCTTATCCTACTGATCAAAGCTACCTACAAAATCAAAGCTTTCAGCCCACTGTTAAGCAATGGGTGTAGCCTACGTATAGCAAACGCTTCTTTAAACAATAGTATAGACCAATTTTTCAAACTGTCAATAATGTTAGTATTAGAAAATATTAAACCTAATTTAGTACTTACATTACAGGCTACATTATCATTTTCAAGTACACCTTGTAAACCTAAAACATATTGGAATGCCTCACAATTTTGTATATGATCATTCCATAACACTAGATCAGATCGTGAAGAATGTTTTTAAGTCTAGTTATTAAGCATATATCTGTTTTACCAATATAATTACTATTACAACCAGGACATTTAAAATGATAACAACAACAGAGCTCCTATATTCCTTAGGGGTTTGATCTTTAGTAGATATAAAATGAGTAGATATAAAATGAGAGACATTTTTGTACTGCCATAATGTTATGAAATTACCTCTTTAACTAAGTGGTTCTTTACTTTTGTTTAAGCATTTCCGTTATGAAATTAACATTTTTGCAACTAAGGCAAGGCTTTGTGGATTTGAATACAGTTGAATATACATGACTGTACATTTATATTAATATCGTAGCGATAAAATGATTAATGAAAAAAATATATATATACGTGTATATAAATTAAACCTGTAACAAAATAGTCACTCACGAGTTTGATTGGCTAAAACCCATCGTTCATAAAAATAGCGGTCGTCTTCTGTGAATGCGCCGTACGCTGGACGACAACTATCAACTGTCTTTGACATAATCTCAGGAATTTCACACAAATCTAGAATTTGATTATTAACAAAGAAAATATATAAATGATGTGCGTACACAACGTCCATATGGGAGATACACATATTTTTTTTATATAGGCTAGTCATCCTAGTAAGATAGAGAGCTTCCGATTTGCGCGACGACGAAATTCTAGCACGGATTCACTCATCTGTGATTCGGGACAAACATTTGGTTTAACGACGGCTGTAGAACAATAACACATAATGAAGCAAAGTATATGCGCATGCGAGAACGTTGAGTTCTCGTTGTCTGAATTATTATAGGACACCGTTAATAACGTTATTTGGATTTCCAATCCCTAATACTGGTATTATTGTGTCCTAAAAGGACAATTCTGGCCATCTCGCAATAATATCATAAGGTTTTATAATCCAAGATCCAACTTAAACGACCCTTGCCGAAGACACCCCTGTCAAACTTGTTGGACCCATTGTCGACAAATTTCTGACGCCACTACGGGTATATTTTTTAATATATCAGCATCACTTCTTTTTCATTAGAGGATACAAGAATTGTTTCAGGCTTACGATATAACGTAAGTGGGCCAAAATGTTTATATGAAAAGGAAATCAAGTACCTCGAAGTGACACCGTTCGAGTGATATATACGTGTTATAAATTTTAATCATATACAAACCTGGTATGACCCTTAATTGCCTCATACGTGCAATTCCAACAAGTGACGAGGTATGGTCAGCCACAAGTGCTTGCTTGAGGCCAAACTCATCTAGCTCTCCATTCAATAGTTGACCAGCAAACAGACTTGGAATCATTACGTTCTGAGTGTAATTCCAGAAGTAATCGCGAGAGGCAACCTACAATAAGAAAAAGAATAGTAAGCAATACGTATTACACAATGTAAAAGGGAGTTCTCACTGGATTAACTAGGCATCTATTTGTTAAATTGATATTATCTTATTTTTATCTTTATATGTTTTGTTTTATTTTAATACTACTAAAAATAATTTAAAAACAACATAACTATGGTAACTAATATTGACACAGACATAGACATATTCTTTATTTGATCCATGTACTTGGAAATTATATTGTTCGTTATGGCTACCTCGAACACCTGTCATTATTTAAGTCATATTGTATGAATTTCTACTGTAGTACTCTTTGGTTTAGTTACACTAAACGTAACTTTAATTCTCTTAGAGTATGTTAATGAAGTTGAGTAAATTCTGTAGTACGTCTGATAGGCCTATGTTTGTTAATTTTGGTATTCCTAGTTTTGGTGAATTTATGCGCAAATCTATTTATAGTTTCATGTTACGTATAATGTGTCTGATAATCGAATTATAATTAATGAAAATGTGTATAATTTGCTTTTTTAATTCTGAATTGTACGTCAGCTGGTCTGACATTTCATATTAGTATGTCTATTTTGAATATTGTAATTTATTGTTTATGCGTTTAATCTGCGAAATAAAAGTTTATGTGTATATATATTATACAGTTCCTCTCGGGATGAAAACATGAGAGTGACTATTCTTGTTGGCAACCGGTACGCGCAGTCTTCTACTTTCTTCTATTTTCTTCTATACCCCTTTTTCTTAATTTCTTTTGGCAGTTCTATTTTTTTTAGAGAAGATCTCTTGGGCTAAATGGGATCTACGCTTATCTGAGGCAATATAAACGACATTTTGCCTATGCATAACAAATGTAAGTTCAATTAAGATCAAAGCGGAGTATTTTGAACAAAATAGCATTGTACATCTTATAATCATAGCACATTATTTTTAATAGCTACGTAATATAAACAAACACAAAAATCATAATTGCTTGTTTAAATTATCATCAAACAGGTTTTATTGAAAGTCCAAGAAAAATAAAACACCCTGTTTTAATGGGAACAGTAAATAACAGTAAATAACCTAAACAAATACAAAATGATAACATTAAAAGGCTAAAACAGAAATACTAAATGATTATCTATATTTTCGAAAACAATCCATATCAGTGACTTAAATGACAAACGGAGGCCTTAGCAATTGCAGTAAAGTCTGGTGTCATGGTTGTCAAACATATCCCTGAGATGCGCATTTAAGTCAACTTCTATATTTGTTTTTTTTTTAAATTAAAATCATTACAGTATTTGGAAAACCCGCTTTCGACTGTGTATGTACTATCAAACATGGTTAAGATGGTGATGGCTAGCTTCTTCAACACAGGCCTTCCATTGATAAGTCCATGCACCAAAATTCTATCGTCGTCATTGGATACAGAGTTATCAATGCTTACCGCTACTTCACATCAAGATTAGGACCAGAGAAAAACAGTGTCTAGCAAATCAATTTATTTTCTGCGCTAATAACGCACTCACCGCCTTCAAATCCTCCCCGAGGAACATGGCGCATGGTTTCCATTTTCAAAAATATTCATCAAATTATTATTCATTTTTTATTTTAATGATTAAAAAAAAATTATAATGTAATTTTTTCGCGCGGGTCAGACTAAATGGCCCTGCGGGCCACCTATTAAGATCCAGTAATGCTTCCAACGTTCACCAAAAAAGATATTACTTACGTCATTCAACATCTCTTCAAACTTGATTGACAGTCTCTCGTAGTAGACTGAGTGTACCGGCCGCAAAAACTAACCGATCTTCTCAGATTTAAAATTTGCATACAATCATTACTTTCTCTTTTGTGATTGAAACACATGACACAAAGTCTGTAAGGCAATAACTTTAACATAAACGACCTCTCTGTACTTACCGAGGAGAATGGCATTTTGCCATGGTAAGATGCATGTACGAAGCTATCAAGCATAGTTTCTCTAAAGGCAAATGCAGTCGGGTCAGTATTTCCAAAAGACACAGTCATCAGTATATACAGAAATAGCAAGTAGATAGATATTTCGCGTAAAATTGCATTCATTTGCATTTCTTTAAACCTGTTAAAAAGAACAAGAGGTTATTGATGTAATTCAGTTTTATATTGTATAAAAAAGAACCATAATTTACAAAGAATAAAATGTCAGATGCAGGTAAGGTAAAGGTCGAAACCTGAAGCTCGCGGGCATCTCTCCTCGTTTGGACCAGACTGTGCAAGGCTGTTGAGGATTTGCCACTCCTCTCGCACAGCATGTCAGTTTTACCTTCCTTCCCAGAATATTTATAATCCTGGGTAGACAGGACACAAACGTAGATAAATGTCTTGCCTAATAATACAGGCGACTTTCACAGCGAACGTTTAGAAGCCCCGACCTCAAGGTTGGGTGTCCCATTCACAACCCTTTCGACTCATGTCAGATGTGGAATACCACATTAACTGTACCTCAAAAAAATGCCTGAATTTTACCTGAATTCCCTCATTTCATTGATTTCATCTTCATCTGGTGGCAATGAGTTGGCTACCTCTGCATCCCTCTGTTTCTGAAATTCCTCAAGTTTAGATGGATCGTTCAATTCTTCCTCTGTTAATCTTTCATGTAACCACTCTTCATCTTTTTCAAGATGCGGTGATTGGCTGTCATCTTCTTTGTCTGGTGATTTGATGACGAGCGAGAAGAAAGTCGCCAACATCAGGACCTGAAAAAATACAGTTCAATAACAAAAACTGCATGACATTTTAAGGGTTTTTCATATTCACCACCAGAAAAATATTTTTATACTACAATACTTATAACCACGTGAATGACACTTCAAAATATGTTGCATCACCGAGGCATATTTTAATCTCACCTTAATCGGCTGAGAAACTAGAATATCTTGCACAAGAGAAATTCCTATTGTCGTCAGCCATTCAGTTGCTTTTTCTTTGCCAAATCCACCGGCAACTTCAATGGTTAGCCAGAAAGCTACGCCAATGGTCATCCAGGCTAAGATCCAACCAAATATTGCAAACCACCAAGGAAGTGGATTTGGATCTTTTTTCTTCTTCTTTGTCTTCTTGTAGCCAAGGACTGGTTTCATCTCTTTGACGTCGGACTTTTCTGGTGCCTCCATCACATCAATACCGGAATTTGACACACATGACATGCGGCTTGTTGTTCCATGCTTAGCAGTACCTGCCCGGCTCTGCATCCGACTTCCTGCTTCCAATAGGTCTAATTGTTCTTTCAATTCATCAGATCCATCCATAGAGGCTTTTTTTTTGGAAAGATCTGCCGATAAACTAGACACAAGAGACAGCCGAGAACCTTGTGCAAGGTATTTGTTTTTCCGCTTCTTCGGACAACAGCATCCACAGCACCTGTCATTCGGCATCATAGGTTTCGACAGTCGAAAAAGTTGGACAATGATAACGTTGGCTGGGACCACCATTAAGCTACTGATTACTCCAACAACAATTTGACCCAGTGAGAGTTCAATTGGACCAACCTTCAGGGCACTACCAGCACCACCTGTGACGTCTTGGCCATAAAAAAAGATATTTGCCATCATTGTACAGAAGAGCAATGACAGGCAACATGTTGCTCTCTCGCATCGGTTGAATGTGCTTTTAGCTGGACGCATGAAGACAGAAAACCACAGATGAGCGTCGCTTAAGTTGCGACGGGTTCTGCTGTAGAAAAGGTGTCCAAAACTTGTCAGTTCACTCATTCCTGCTACCGGTATGATGCGTTCAATCTGAAAAAAAACACGATATAATATTATTATATTTAGGAATACTTGCAAATTTGTAACCCTTTCCATTGTTATCGTTTCCTCCTACGTTATATATATATATATATATATATAAAAACATATATTGCCTTGGTTTGGCTCTGTAATCATTAGTGGTAGTGCTAGACAAACATTCCAGAGGAGGAAAAGTTGCACTCGATATCTGGACCTGTTAAAATACAGACGTTCCCCAGTGATAGATAGGCCTATTTTAGATTATTGAGCTTCAGTAACAGTACAAGTTTACTATTATTTGTGAGTACAATTAAAGAGTCTGTTGGATCTGTGGATAGAGACAACGTAGTTTATTATTCTGTTCTTTTTATTTTATTTCTTAATAACTAATAAGTCAACGGAATAACACCGTTGCTTGACCCGCTGCTGGATCGACGCTCTGGCAGCGGTGGGATTTAAAATAATAAGCTTGTTGCATTATACTCGTATCTTTTTTGTATGCTAACATTTGTTGTTTATTTAATTTACAAGATGTGCGGAGACCTGATAATTTTTAGCGATGATGTTTAAATTCTAGATAGGCACATTATCATGATAACAGAACGTGAACAAGTCTTTGATTGAAAACTGTACACAAATACCGATCTGGACGTGTTAGGCTTGTCAGGCACACATCTAGGCCAATATTCTATGGAACGGGTTGAGGAAAAGGTATCGGACGGATCCATAATTTTTCTGACGGGGGAGGGGGGGGGGAGGAGCGGCAATAGATGGAACACACCCAAACCATCGTGGGGCTGAGGTGAGGACATTTTATGAATATGTCCCTCTAGACGCTCGGAAATGGCACTCTCAGATGGTAAAAATGCTATTTTTTAAAGCAGTCTCCTCGACAACATTATTGACTTTTCCCGATGGGAGACCTTCTCACCCCTTTCCTCCGGGCGTCGCAAATGACTGATTATGGACCTATATTTTATACTGTGAGTCGCAAAGCAAATTATGAAAATTTCAGGAAATGGCACTCATTCAGACTTAAAATTTGAATATTTTATCTCCATTTTTTATTATATATAATTTTTACAAATGTAGGGGTTCATGTTCGGCTGGGCATCCCATTCCCACTGAATTAATATGATATATGTCCTACGGTCAGTGTCAGAGACATGTTATGCTATTTTGTATAAACAAAGCCTTTAAGATCAGGGTGTTATAGAGCGAGGATCCTATGGGTAGGGGCACCGCAGGGACCCCTAAGGGTCACTTACGTGTTACACTACTGAGCATGAATAACTGTTCTAGCTGGGTACATTACATTTCGTTATTGCGGCTAAAAACCCCCGTCTTATGGCTCCGTCTTTCGGCCTTTTGGCATCGGTGTTAAAGCTACACTTCTTTTTCTCCCCTCTTTCCTTCCTTTAACTCTTCTCAATTTTATTTCTCTTTTTTTCAGGAGGACTGAAGGGGTGGGGGAAACGGCACAGTTCCCCCCCCCACCCCGTTAGATCCACCCAGGCATGATGTAATCGGATTCGTAAACTTGTGGTATCAGTACTTAAAGAAGTCGAAATAGACAGGCCTATGAGTCAAAGGCTGTATTATTGTTTAATAACAACTATATAAAATGCAATTGACTAACTTTTTTATTTTTAATTAGGAAAATCAGGAATCTATGTACAGTATGCAGATAATATTAAACACTAGTATATATGGGCCTTAATAATATACAAAATGAATAAATCTTTTATAGTATAAATTGTACACGTTTGAGTTCTTAAAAATGTTGGCCTAAGAGGTTTACACGCTTCCAATTTTACCACGTACAGTAGGCCTATATTGTTTTCATAATAAATTTGGCCTCTGATAACCGTTGCATCCATAAAATCGATGGAGTGGTTACTGGGATGGTTACGAAATGTGCAAACAATTGTGTTTTTACTCAGTATTGGTCTGGAAATACGCACCGCACTTGGAATAGATCAGTCAAGCGAATAGACAAAATTCACGACAATCAATCGTAATTGTTGTTGTTCTTTCCACTCGCTTTGAAAAATGGGGTTTTAACTATAGAAGATTGGTGAAAAGTGGGGGGGGGACAATTGATATGATGTCCTCCCTTCTTTGAAAAGTGGGGGAGACGTGTCCCCATGTCCCCCACCGATCAACGCCCATGACGGAGTGTGGAAGGGGTTGATTCCCAGCACCATTCAAAAATTAAAAACCTTTTGGTTGAGTACCAAGACATGTTTGCGACCAGTGACACAGACTTAGGTAGAACAGGATTAGTGATGCATTCCATTACCACTGGAAATGCGTCACCGATTCGGAAACCTCCTCGTAGACAACCTGTAAGAAACCAGGAGATACAGAAACAAATACGAGACTTACTACAAGAAGGGGTTATTGAACCCACTAAGAGCCCTTGGGCTTGGAACGTGGTTTTGGTATCCAAGAAAGATGGTATAAAACGGTTCTGCGTGGACTATTGTCGCCTGAATAACCCGACTGTTAAGGATGCCTACCCAATTCCTAGAATTGATGATTCCTTAGATGCCCTTGCGGGGACAAATGTTTCTCTTGCTTCAGGGTACTGGCAGGTCGAACTAGACGAGGAGGCTAAACAAAAATCAGCTTTCGTAGTACGAGGAGGGCACCATTATGCCTGGAAAGTAATGGTCTCTGTAATGCACCCTCCATATTTGACAGGCTCATGGAAAGTGTCCAGATGGGTCTTCAGGAGGAAGTTCTGTTGGTGTACCTGGACGATGTGATAGTGTACGCAAAGAACGTAGAGAACGAGATACGCCGGCTGGGATTGAGAAGCAGGCTTTTGAAACTAATACGGCAAAAACTACGGTACCTGTTTTGGCATATCCAGATACTAAAGCAGAGTTCCTGCTAGATACAGATGCCAGCAATACCGGAATGGGTGTTGTGCTTTCTGAAGTACAGGACGGGCAAGAAAGAGTTATCGCCTATGGGAGTAAGACGTTATCCAGAGCGGAACGTAATTGCTGTGTAACAAGAAGGGAATTACTTGCCCTTGTATATTCCTGAAACATTTCCGACAGTATCTTTAGGGGCAAAAGATTACCAATCGAATTGGCCATGCCTCACTAAAGTGGCTCCTGAACTTTAAGAACCCGTAAGGCCAATTAGCTCGTTGGTTTGGAGTAATTAGTGAATACCAGTACTGTGATACATAGACCTGGGACAAATCATGGGGACGCTGACGGACGGAAGCCAGGTTAGACTTTCTCGCTTAGAACCAGGAACACCACGAGAAGATTTGAAAACTAAGCAATTGGACGATAGTTCAATGGCCTGGGTATACCCTGCAAAGGAAGAGAACACTGCCATACCTGATTGGGAGGACGTAAACCCATCCAACCGAGCATACTGGTTACTTTGGAACGTGTTAGAGTTATGAGAGGAGGTTTTGTGTTGAAGATGAAAGACAGAAGATGGAGTAATTTGACCAGGAAAACAGTGCTGCCCCATAGCCTGAGACCGCAAGTAATGAACGAGGTACACGGAGGTGTTACCAGTGGTCATGTGGGAATGACACAAACTTTGGAAAAATTAAAACAGAAATTTTACTGGCCGAAGATGCACGTTGATGTGGTCCATATGCCAAAAGAAAGACCCCTCCCCAAAGACGGCGGGCACGACTTCAACAGTGGCCTGTCCTTGAAACTATGGAACGAGCTGCCATGGACATTTTAGGACTGTTTCTCTAGTCAACCAGAGGTAACAATTTCACTGTTCATTGCAAATACGTTTTGGTGGTGGGGGAGTACCTGTCGAAATGGATGGAGGCATACGCTCTTCTAGATCAGTGTGCCGAAACTGTAGCTAAGAAATTGGTGGAAGAGTTTGTGTTATGGTAATTCGTTTCTAAGCAGACCCACTCAGATCAGGTACGAAAGTTTGAGTCTGCCGTTATTGCAGAAACGTGTGTTTTGTTAGGGACCCACAAAACTAGAACAACTCCATATAATCCCAAGTCGGATGGATTAGTTGAACGATTCAAAAGGACGTTAGTCGATATGGTAGCAATTATGGTACAACCATACTCCGACTAGAGCAATTGGGACGAGATGTTACCATATGCAATTTGTTGCCTACCGCACCACACCACAAGAATCAACGGGAGCGATACCGTTCACGATGATGTTCGGCAGAGAGGCCGCAGTGCCAGTAGACTTAATGGTAGAGCCGGCAGAAGGTGAAGAAAATGGAGACGACCTGGTCTCGAACACTAGGAACCGCCCACAAAATGCTGCAGAAAGGGCAAAAAAAAAGCCTTAAAAACCAGCGCCCGGAGGCAAAAACGGTTGTACGACCGTGTTCATGGTGGACCTGAATTAAAAGAAGGGATTTTTGTGCTGATGTACGATAAAACAAAACGAAAGAAAGTCTCCCCAAAGCTTGAAAGTCGGTGGCAGGGACCATACCGAATAGCCACAAAGTTTTTGGAAGTGACCTACAGACTTGAGCTGAGGCCAAGAGGCCGAAAGCGGGTTGTGCATTACGACCTACTAAAGAAATGTGAGGGTGATATCCTAACTGAATGGGGACAAATGAGAGTGGACGAGGAAGTTAGCGCTTCTGAACCAGATTCGGACCTCGGTAATACCACTACAAACCCACCTGACCCTGAACCAGACCCTGAAGACAGACTTATCCTATCCTGCCGGGATGAGGCTGAGGTACCAAAGACATGGTAGCCGCAAAGGAATCGGCAACGGCCGAAACGGTTCCGGCGTGTGTGGAAACTAGGAGAGTAATGGATCAACATGTTCATTTGGATGTCATCAAGATGCTAGCTTACTTCAACAAAAAGCAAGCCGAAGACCAAGTTGAAAATGTGTTATGTTCTTAGTTAAATTTTCTGTCTGTATATCTCTATGAGAGGAGGGAACGTTGCACTTGATATCTGGACCTGTTAAATTACAGACGTTCCCCAAGGATAGATAGGCCTATTTTAGACTATTAGCTTCAGTACAGTACAAGTTTACTAATCTGTGAGTACAATGAAAGAGGCTGTTGGCTCTCTGGATAGATAGAGATAACGTAACGTATTATTATTATTACTATTATTATTATTACTATTATTATTATTATTATTATTATTATTATTATTATTATTATTATTATTATTATTATTATATTGTACAGAAATTTCAGCAGTAGTTTTAAATCACCATTGTCTGCTGTCTACTGTACAAAAATATATAATCTTTTAATTCAATGACAGTAAACCTACTAAAAACGTGTAAACCCCGCACCTATCTTAAATAGGTTTAAATGCTTGAAAGTATAAACGCCAGCTACTAGCGCCAACTCGATGGTGTAGTGCTTAGGATTCCAGACCTACCTGAAAATTTCTTGCACAAGTAACTGAGTATTCAGTGCGACAGAACTTGATGTTTTACAAAATATTACTCTTTTTTATTTATATTACTCCTTTACACAAAAAGCTTCTGGAACATCTTCCGAAAGCTATTATTCAGTTGAATCTAGGAATTCATTTCAAACGATTTAGCTTATTTTTGAATTTTCCTAGTAAAATTGGAAGCCTAGAACCTTTACAATTCACGGTGTACAATTTACCTGTCCGTCATCCTCTTCCACAGCCAACCACTTATCCAACATGAAGTAGTATATCCTGTTTGTCTGCAAGTCTTTGATTGACGCACGACTAAGAAACCATGATGGACGTTTCCCTTTGTTATCGTGCCAGATTCTTAAATGTACCATAGTTCCAAGTGACTTAGGTACGGCCATCAAAAAAGAATCGATTCCACCGCGTTCAAAAAGTTTTCGTTTTTTATCCTTGACAACTCTGATTCCTGTTTCACCGTTCTCACCTTGGAGTATAAAGGAGACGTTAGCTGTCGTGGATGAATTTTTACGCACGCCAGTGAAGAAAGTAAGTTCGTAGTTATAGCGATGACGTGGATCGTTGTCGCTCATGGGGGTGACACCGGCCTAGGATAAACAAACATTATTACCAATTATTTACTGTAGACAGTACGTAATAAGTGTGAGGAATACATAACCAAAAAATGTAAATTAATTATTATGTATCAAATTAGGGGAATGTCACCGTAGTATGGACGTAAAATAATAATGGGGGTGACACCGGCCTAGGATAAACAAACATTATCACCAATTATTTACTGTAGACACAAACAGTACGTAATAAGTGTGAGGAATACATAACAAAAAAATGTAAATTAATTATTATGTATCAAATTAGGGGAATGTCGCCGTAGTATGGACGTAAAATAATAATAATAATAATAAAAAAAACGATAAAGGTTTGACATTAAAGGAAATAGTGTATGACTTATAATGAGCTCTGAAACATCATTTTGCAAACATTTATATCGGCAAAACAATTCCAATTGTTTGCCGACAAGTTCACATGATGTCATCGATGGTAACTAGAATCAATTCATCAATATCATTGACTTAAAACTTACAGCGCAGAGCATAGTTAAACATCGATGTATCTATCTCCTAAAACATTTCGACTAACCCATTCCTATGAACCAAATTCTATTCTATGAGATGTATGTTTCATAAATAATATCCTTGAGTTTGAAAAAAATACTTACGTACAGCATGGAGGAAATATATTAGGATATATGTTATATTTCCTCCAGGGGTACAGGATGTCCTAAAAGTATCGATCCCTTTTAAAACTTATATCTCCCTTAAAATAATTTGTAATGTAAAACTGAAAACAGTATTTAAATAGAAAAAGCTTGTAGCAATATTTTCAATTACAGCTATTTGTGTTGCCTAATTACATGCAAAAGTTCCCGAACTGTAACACCGCTTATGAATTTACGTTTACCGCAATTTAATAACTCTTAACATAATGCGCTTATGCAATGAATTAAGAAGGAAAAAGAGAGGGAGCTAAAGAACTATATTATAGTATAAATATTTTACCAGTTTATATACGTCTTTCATATTTTTAATATCATTTAATTATTAATTATTATTCATAAATATATTAAAGCTTAAACATTTTCATTCATTATGCAATTCAGTCAAACAAATTATGGTTTCTTGTTGAATGTACACTTTTTAAAAAGACACTTAATGTCTGAGTGATAACTTACTCGCATTTTGTCTCGCTGATCTTCTTTGCGTGCCCAAATGATGACTACAGTGTATATACAGATGCATACTGTCATGAAAACAAAGACTACCGGATTTTCCCCGAGTTTGGTGAAAGCAGACTCGCTGAGATCTATTGTGTTCATTGGCACAGAGAACCCGCCTCCAAATGACGTCAAATGAGTACAAAAGCACTGGGTGCATAACCGATCAGAATTCGATCCAACCTATGTCAATGTCGAAAAACACATTTATTTTTATTTTATTTCATTTCACATCTAACGGCTAGTTAACTCGCCAATTACAGGACAACCGATGCTTTATAAACCAAGTCTCTTTAGACATCAATGATGGGACCTAAGGCCTCTTTAGGCCTATACTTCAACGATAACGATAAAAAAGCTAAAAAGCAATCGTTCATATAGAAAATAAAAGATATGAGAAGTTTTTACACTAGAACCATTCGATAATTATTATCAGTTATGCGGTAACAACATATTTTTAAAATCAAATCATATGACGTCATAATCATGGAAAAACATTAAAATCGTAGTAGTAGCAAAGATTTTATCGTTTTTCCATGATTATGACATCATCTGATTGATTTGTTAAAATATTTTGTTACCGTAACACGATACATCGTTATCGAATCGTCCTAGTGTAAAAACTTCTCTTATTTCTTTTGGTTTCTATAATGAACTATCACTTATTAGCTTTTTTTTTTTTTTTATCGTTATCGTTGAAGTATAAACAGGCCTTTAGGAGTATAGTTGGTTTTATTTAATACTAAACAACATTATAAGTCATCACTACAACTCCCAATGTTATTTGAATATCCCCTCACACTCCATTAATTTTTCAATTCGTGGACGCTTGACTTGGAATTTTTTTTAGGTTCGTGTGAAAAAAAAAATCCGCATTTTTTCGTCACCGAGAAAAGATCGCACACCGTGATGAAAATTGAATTGCTATTGAAAATTACTTTCATAAAACAAGGTTAATTAGAACCCGAAGAAAACAGGGGTGGCGCCAGGATTTTCCCGACGCGTGTGGCCGGCCGAGGTCCCTGACATAGGGGCCCTCGGCCGACGAGGGGTCAGATTTCCCCGACCAAAACAATGTGGGCGTGGTTGAGCTTCGATTAAAAAAAAATTCAAAAGTGGTCGGGGGGGGGGGTGGCGAAACCCCCGAAAATTTTAACAATTTAGGGGTTTCAAAGGTTAATTTAATCGATTTTAGTGTCTACTAATAAATGTAGAAACCCCGACGAATTGTGCTTTTTCTCCCGACAGAGGTGCCAGCTCTCAATCATCCCACGCTCTTTACCTGTCTGCACCGACCAAAAAGTTAGTGACAGTCACTGTATTCTCTCTCGAATGCTTAAAAAAAAGTATGTATTTCTTTGACGAATGTGAAACATTACAAACCCAAGTTCTTCACACAATACAAATTACAAAATAGGCTAGTTATTCATCGAATACGCATTGTACACTGCTGATGTTTAGTTAACGTGTACTGTAGGAGCACAAATCAGCATACGCACAGCTAAATGTAAATACGCACACAGTATACTGATCATATCACTATAGCAACCGATGACTGCTACATAACAGTTTTTTTTATTTTTTTAATCAAAACCGTCAAAACTAACATTAAAAGACGGTTATTGACTTATAAAGCAATTAGTAGAGCATCCATCGTACACTAGCGGAAAACTATTATACTTAGGTTAGATTTTATGCATTCATCCTTTTTTTCAAGCATTAAATCTAACATTCGTATAATAATTTTCCCATAGTGTACTATGAGGAGCTCTACTAATTGCTTAATATTATAAAACAGAATACACTTCCCAAAAACGCCTCTGCACTTCAAAAGAAGAACACAGAAGTATCATTATAGAAAATAAAAGTAGAATATAAGGCTAACTTCAAATCACCTCACATCCATCCGATTTGAATTGTTTACTCTCCGCGTCGTAGTACATACATTTCGAGGTGTAGAAAGAGATGGCATATCTTAACGGCGAAAACGCGTGCTCTGAATCTTCTTCTTCCTCTGTAAGATTTGCTCCAAATACATGTCTTACCCCAATGTTTACAGTGTTTCCTGATCCGTTCAGATAACTGGAATAAAAAGTGTTTCAGATTTGATGCCATAACACAGTACCACAACGATTCAACTTCACCCCAAATAATACAAGATAAACAATTCGGGGTTTTTCATTTCAAGAGTTTGGTTGTTGATGGTTATAGGTCTGTAAAGTAGAGCCTCTGATTTCGTTTTACAGAATATAACGCCGAAGTGTTCCATTACAATTTTATGAAGTTTGTGGTTTTAGTTACAAACAAAGTGCTCATATTTTGCAAGGATTTTGATAAGATATTAAACAGCGAGCATCTTAAACCAGTACACCTATATGAAATACAAAGCGCAGCGATGATTGATTTTTGTCATATCCCAAACTGTTAATTGTACCTATACACCATGTTCGCCAAATTTGAAATGAATATTTCCAAGAACCTTGCAACTACCACTGCGGACATACCGTACAGAGCCCTAGAATTTAGCTGTACGTAATTGCCATCATGCATTAAATAAACGATAAAACTATTTTCCTTCAATAGACAGGACAAGCAACAATACTACCTTTCTAGCTCCAAGTTAGAGAAGTAGCATCTAGTCTCTCCAAGAATTTCTGAATAAAGTGTTCCATTCCAAGGGCGGTCGTAGTATTCTGGCGGTTTGGTTGCATTTAATGGTTTTAACCACTGCTGAAGTGTGCAGTTTACATGATGGCTACCTGTGGATGGAATCATATTACATTATATTATATATATTATTATATTATTATTATTACATATTATATTATATTTATTCAACAGTATTGAACTGCTAACTCCCTTCAATTTCATATATATATACATACATATATATATATATTAATATATATATATATATATTAATATATATTAATATATATATATATATATTAATATATATATATATGTATATATATATATATGAAATTGAAGGGAGTTAGCCTGTCAGGGCCTAATATAATATTTAGAACAAATTAATGAAAAGATAAATGAAAGAGTAGACGAGAAAAACCAAAAAAAGGTCAGTAAAATATGTCAGAAATAAACATTGAGAATGGTTGTTCTCATAGAAATAACTTACTTTCGCTTGGATCTTCGTTGAAGGAGACAAACACATAAAGGGTGTATGATTCAACATCCCAAGTGATTTCTTCATCTTCATCCTCCGCAGGCTCTTCCCCAATTGCCTCAATATTAAGGAAAAGTGCACTGTTTCCTGCAACATCTACACCAGACAAAAAATGTACACATGTTATAACTACCAAAAATAAATGTATTGAGTAAAATATAATTTTAAGTTGTTGATTAACTATAAAGAAATATTGAATCTATAAAATATTTCTGTAATTTTTCTAAATGTTTGTGTCAACTGCATTCCTGGAAACAATTTTCGAAAACATAAATTTATTTTAATTTAGATTCTGAATACAGTTTAAATGCAGAGTGCTGTCTCAAAATATATTTTTTGATACCAAAACATAGAAAATGAGTTATTAATATAATATATTATAATAAATTACATGATAAGCTTTATTCTACGTTTGAATCAAATTTCTAGAATGGGTACAACCAGAGTAAGGTTATTTTTAGAATCAAAGTTCTGAAATCATACTTTAGATAAAATCGCCTCTAAAGATAAACAACTAATATTTTTTTTTTTGGTAATTGTCCTATCAGTTCTGGAAAACAGCTTTAAAAGTATGTTGCTTTAAAAGAGGGAACTAGAAAGATGATTTTTTTTTCTAGAGGGGATTGTTCATACGCCATTAATACATTAATAATAGAATCAACTTTAAAATCTTTTTTTTTGACAATTTTTGTATGAAGTTATAGGCCATTATAGACGATTTTACCCCTTTAGCGGTGTGACGTCACTGTAGTTAATGTAACCAAAAATAGTATAATAAAGAGCGCCGCGTAGGATATTAGCCGCGTACGATCTTTGCGTGCATGCTGTAACGATGGCTGTAACTCTTGTTGACACCCGCTGATGCATAATCAAGTCTTGTCCCTATAGCTAAGGAGAATAATCGTGCACTTTTGGAAGAAAGAATGAAACTTCCCACAGTGATACTATAATAACTAAGGAATTTTCAAATAAATGTTGTGGCCTATCAGATACCGTTTGACTTCTTATTTACTGTATGTATATTTGCCTATGCAGCACCATTATACGTTGGAAAATAGACCCCAAAAAATAACGCCGCTTAGTGGCCACCATCTTGAAAATCAAAATGGCCGCCAAAATATTGGAATTTTAATAATAATCTTCATATCTACAGCACCTAGCACGGTCATTCAAATGTCTTTACATAAGTTTTCAATATAAGGGAGTATCATGCAACCATCAGAAATTATGTAAGATGGCCGCTATATTTGATTTCAAGATGGCTGCCAAAATATTGTTATTTTTGTCATTATCTTCATATCTACAGTAAAGTAACACCTTCATCACACCTTTAACCATGTTTTTAATATCAGAGAGTATCATGCAATCATCAGGAAATTATGTCAGAAGACCGCCATATTGGATTTCAAGATGGCTACCAATGAAATTTTTTTTTCAGTTATATGAAAAAATTTCTCGAACATTTAGCCATTTACTATCTCGGTGTCATCAGTAGGTCATATCACTAGACCACAGAGTCCTGTACGATAAAGGTGCATATCTCACTCCCAGATACTTCTCTCATACGACTGACTTATATTAAAGAATAAATAAATAAATATATATATTTGATTATTTATATATAGTATATATAGTATATATAATTTAAAAAAAATGTAAATACAGAAGGGTAAATTTAACTGTGTTAACGAATATCTTGATTATTATTATATTCATAAATATATATATTATATATATATTTATTTAATTATTTATTGGTATATATACTCAAAATGCAACAGATTTGATCTACTTGTTTATATATGATGCAAAAACGCTTCCAGACAGTAAAAACACAAAATGTTTTAATAGTAATGGTAATGGTGAGATATTTGTAGTGCGCCTTCCACAATAAATCGTCTCAAGGCGCCGAAAAAAGGTAGGACCATGAATAATAAAAAATTAAAATTATATTATACCTTATATTAATGAGCCTATATTAATCAGGATATTTTTTAATTTTATTTATTATAAGTTAAATAAATATAAATAAAAGAATAAATAAATAAATAGAAAATAAATAAAAATAAATAAATAAATAAATAATTGATAAATTAAGCCTTCAAAAACAGGCAGACCAAGAATGGGAAAAACCAAGCAGCAGCATGAAAAATGCGCACTCCTGTTGTTGAGACGGCGTCACCACCACTACCGCGTGCACGCAGGTACTCCGGCGACAGTATGCTGGGCTCCGGTAGCTTCCAACTTGGATAAGCCTCGGCTCTACCGTGCACTGCTAAGGTGGCGACGCCGGCTCAAGTAAGGGAGTTGCGACTTTAAGGAACAAAAAACAAAACACTTAAATACTCTTAAACTACAACAATTGTAAAAACTGTATGAACGGAGGTTTCTTCACGGATAGAGGCTGGTAGGGTGTTCCAAAGACTTGGTGCAGCGACAGAAAAAGCCCTATCACCGTAAGTTTTGAGTCGCGATGCTGGAACGGATAGTATGAATCTATTGGTCGTTGATCTTATAGACCTACTACAAGTTACAGAACGTGACGTTAGAAGTTGAGAAATATAGAATAAATATAGAGTTGCTGCATAGACAGATTTGTATATATAAAATAAGAAGTCAAACAAAGTTCTGTATCTGTCTCAAAAATAAAATATTTATTGTACACCACACAACACACGCCTCTGGTTTTAACTTACCATCCTACCTCTAAGAAGATTGCTAAGATTATAACAGACAATCATTATATTTTGGAATCAGACCCAGCCACCGAAGACATTTTTAAGGAGCCTCCTATGATTTACGTGATCGTAGCTTGAAGGACCAGTTAGTTAAGTCAAGATTGAAAGCAATACATCCAGCAGATAATGTAGGCATGACTAGGTGTAATAGAAGTAGATGTAAGACATGTAAGCATGTTGTATGTACGGATACTATCATAGGACCTTCCAGTAATTTTTCTATTCGAGAGAAATTTACATGTACCTCTAGTAATGTTATATATGCTATTATTTGTGTTAAATATAATAAGGTTTATATAGGAGAAACGAAAAGGAGGCTTGGAGATAGATTCGTTGAACATTTGCGCTCTATCAACCTTAACACATCAGGTCTTCCTACAGGTATAGCTGAACATTAATCATTAATCATGATATTAATAACGATATATTAGTTACCGGTATCAAACAATGTAATTCATCTGAATTTAATCGTAGACGTTTGGAGGAGCGTATTATTTTTCAACTAGGTACTTTGAAACCTCATGGACTGAACGTCTCATTTAAATCTTTTAGAGATTAATTTGTTATTTTATTTATCTTGCTATGATGCATTCTGTGACCATTATACTATGACTTTTATTTTGCCTTTGATTTGTTTTCTTCTTTTAGACCTATGTCATTACACGCCTTCTAGGCGTAGCTGTTTGTATTGTCTTACTATGTTCATTGTTTCACTATGCCGCCAGTACTGCCGTTTAGGCTTTACCGATGCCACCGCTTCTTTTGTATATGTTCTCTATATAACCCTGTTCATTCCACTATCCTATCAGTACCTGATGATGACCTATGGTCGAAAGTACTAGTACAATAAATATTTTANNNGGGTAGGTTGGAAGCAGATCATCTAGACAACAGTGCTCGATACATAAGCAGAGCAATATAAAATCAAAACAAGATGACGCTTGGTTACAAATTCAACATTTTATTGCACTACAGGCTGTTTCATCAGGTGCTAGGATCTGAATGAGACTGCAGAATAACAATCATGCATGGTGGAACTGTTAATTGCTGTATAGATTATATTGTTATATAGTTTATTGGTAAACAGGTTAATTAGTATACTCATATTATTCATAGAGGTGATTAGAAGCTCTGTATTGTATAGGCCTATGTATATTGGTACCGCAGTAGAAATTTTCTTCTATGCCTACATGCACTAATCAATTCATTCCTACGGTTAAGTGAGCTTAATTCAGGGTTACATATAAAGATGTGTATAAGAGACAGGGGCTTGACTTAGCGGACCTTTTAAAGTTGTTTGTTAGTGTTATAAAACCCTCAATCTTATATTATCGGCTTTAAGTTTCCAAATGTATTGGCTGAGTGCCGTGCTGTTTTTGTACTTTTCATTACGGAATGAGCTACTATGTCCATTATATCTGCCCTTAAAAGTGTTTTCTGTCAGTCCGACGTAAGTTTCTATTTTGTTGTCGTATGACTGTGGCCTGATAAACAACTCCTTTGGTTAGGCACTTGTTGGATAGGGGGCACACGTCGCGACAATTGCATTCTTTGACTTCATTATCTGTGAGGATTGTGGTATTTTTAAGTACTGATTTGTTGTGTGCAGAGATTATTGAACCCATATTCGGCATACAACTGTAACTTATCTTGATAGTGTTTCGGTTAAATATTTTCCTTAGTGCATGGTTGGGTGGAAGCATTCATCCACAATTTCTAAAAATTCATGTCCAATTCTTGTCTTTACGTTATTGCTGTATGGAGGGTTGAACCAGGTGATGTTCCTTTTTCTTTTCCTTGTGTTGTCTCTTTGTGTGCTTTTAGCTGTGGGTTCATACGTTAATTTGTGCTCGTATCCACTTTCTTTTAGGGCTTCTTGGTAAGGTTCCTTAGTGTCATTGAATGTTTCGTTAGAGGAAATGCTAGAGAGTCTTCTATTTATGGCTTCCGGGATGTTCTTTATAATGGAGGGTGGGTGGTTACTTTTTGAGTGTATGTACAGGGGCTTGTTGTTTTCCTTCAAGTAGGGTCTGTGGGTTCCGTCGCTTAGGTTCAGTGTAACGTCAAGATAGTTAATCTCTTTCTTGTTCGCGTCTATTGTTATTTTCAAATCGTACTCTCTAAATACATTACATATGTCCTTTTTTATTCTTTCGATTTGCTGGGGTGTATCGTCAAATGCTGCCAGTCCGTCGTCTCTGTAGAGGCCAAGCTTATTTCCATATTTTGGTTCTAATATTGCCAGTATGAAAAGGCCGATTAGCTCACATGTCTCTGCTCCGTCGTAACTACCCATCGTCGAAATTTGTCTCGGTGTTTTGTTTTTTTCCAGGCTGTTTGGTTGCTGAATAGTAGAGT